ATTCTGTAGCCAAGTTCCAAAGTGAAATTAGCTATTGTTAATCAAAAGTGCGTGGTGGAGATTAAAGTCTGTTTATTATAGACGTATTGGGACAACTACTTCTCAAATTTTCATATGCCGTCGTGCCTTTACATAAATGTTATATGCTCGAATTGCTATTAAAAAAAAAACAAAAAACAGTAACAAGAGAGGAGCGACATCAGCACTAGCTTAGCTTTCTCATAACGATACAAATGGAGCATTACAAACAATAAAGGTATTTACCACTCATAATATGTCTCGTTTATTTATGTTTCTTAATTTGGTTGTTGAGCACGAATGCTATTCGGCAAATTAGACATTGAATATAATCATTACGCGCACAGGTCTAACGATTAGTGCCGCTGTATTGAAAAAATTAACTACACGAAGGAAATACTTTGACTACAAAGCGGGATTTACCATAAGAATCGTTACTCGGTCAGTACCATTCCTCGCGGGCTGTTTGCCACTTGGTGATAACAAGTTTTTATATATCAAGGGGGGTTTTTTTTATCCCCAAGAGGCAATCTGCCCGTGAACAATGTCAACGAAAAGCCCCAAGATCTTGAATTTATCATCAAGCACACTCTCTCAGGAAAGGAGAACAGTTTGAAGTGCGCAACTTATTCACGACTTAGTGGCTTTATATCCCCTCAGAATGCAACTACGGCATTCATTAAAAACAGGTAAGGGTTTACCGAAGATAGTGTATTTTAGGGGACATAAAGGTAATAGGCAATAAGTTGAGCTGTTCACACTACGCCTAAACNTACGGCATTCATTAAAAACAGGTAAGGGTTTACCGAAGATAGTGTATTTTAGGGGACATAAAGGTAATAGGCAATAAGTTGAGCTGTTCACACTACGCCTAAACATGTTTAGTCTAATCACAGAATGAAACATGTTTTACTTCGAAAACTGTCCACATCAGGTGTTGCATTGCACGAATCATGATCGAAACATATTCATTTAAAACTACCTCACGATATTGCTTCTCTCTCGATCAAACCGAAACCCGTTAAAGATGGCGGCTAAGCGGAGAGCCGGGAAGCAGGTCTAGAGATACTGTACTGTTTTGGAGCCATGATAAAACAAAAATTTTGCTTGACAATTTTTGCGGATAAAACAACAGAACGCCAATTAGGAGCCATGTGTTGAAAACAGAATATTTGGAAGAACATCGCCGCAAAACTAACGACAACGGTTTCACGGTTTGCAAGTTTTCATGTTACCAATCTTTTTAGCATATTATATTTATTAGTTTTATTTGGGAAGTTAGTTTGTGGATTTAATGCGATGCACTCATAACTATTTCATAATACAAGGTAAAGTCTGTATACGAGCCAAGTGGCCCACCAGGCCGGAGCTTATCTCAGTTTCTGTAGCATGAAGCGACTAGGAGTATTTCTACTCCCCTCTGGATGGGATGCTAGTCCATCGCAGGG